CGAAATTAAGAAAAAGGAGCTGCTTTTCTTTTTTTTTGTCACAGCGCAGTTTGGTTATGGGGGGGTCGTGCGTCGCGCGCAAGGAAATAAGAAAGATAAGCGGAGAGCCCTTGCCTAAGCAAACAAAACAGCTTGCGAAAGGCGGCAAAAAAAAACAAAACAAGGGACCAAGAGAAAAAGAAAACAAGGAGGAGTTTTGTTTTTTGCGCAGCTTAGTTTGGTTACGGGGTCGGCCGCCGCGCGCAAGAGATAAGAAGTTACTTCGATTTTTCAGGATAAAAGGTCCGTTCTGTATGCGAGTAAATACGGACGCAAAAATTTTACTTCGCGTAATGAACGCCCCCCCCCCCCCCCCCCCAACTTGCATCGATTTTGCGGAAAAAAAAGTGCGTTCATTCTGCGAGTAAATACGGTAGATGGTGCCACTAAAACTCTGTATAATAAAAGTTTTGTCGATGATACCAGACTTTTGACGCATTTATATTTATGTTGAAACGACACGATTTATAGAAAAGTTACCTTTTATCGAGCAGGTATTCGCAAAACTTGCTATCTTTCTATAAGACCCCCATTGACGTCATGCCGCTTGTTTCTCATGGCCGCCACTCGCGGCTGCAGGTCGAGGAATACTCTAATTTTTCCCTCGCGATTACGCGGCGGAATCGCAACATTTCGATGAAAGGAGGTGTGCTTTCTGTCATTTGTGACAAGGTGAACAATGTCAAAAGTAGAAGGTGCCAATTCTTTCTCAATGTTAAAATCGTTGCACAGCTCCTTTAAAGAGCCCCTGAAAAGAAAACAAATGTTTTTTTTTAAACAGTCAGGTTGGGAAACGCATGTCAAAAAATAAATCTTATGCGGAAAGAAAAATTTTTTTAGAGCAATATTGACGGCGAGATTGATTTGAAATTCTGCATGCTAAGTCCGTCATTCCGGAATGACCATCTCGGTCATGAAGGAGAAGCCGATCCTCACTTGCTCCACGCGCTCGAAATGCTGAGGGAGAAAACAAGCGGAAAGGGGGTGACTGCCAACTAAATAGCGTCTCGCGCCGTCAGTATTGCTCTAAAAAATTTATTCTTTCGTGTAAAATTACTTTTTTGACATGCATGCCCCAACCAGACTGTTAAAAAATTAATGCGACCCCCTCCCCACTCATCGCTAAACGTCACCATTACCGCGTCCCTTCACCGCTTAAAGACACCGGGAAAATATGCACCTTCGCTTGCACTGTTGCTGCCACAAACTATTCCTAACAGTGTCGCTGCACCAAGGCCGTACTCCGTCCCAGGAAAGAACGGCTGGCTTCTGCAGCTTGCAACCGGCATTCCGCCCAGACTGACCACCAACAAGAGGTTGGTGGTCAGCTTGCCCACTTAGTTTACCGAGCATCCAGTGTCTTTCCTTGCCTGCTCACTTTAGTGATCAACGAGCACTCATGGCAGCCGTCAATGGCATCCACGACGCTAACTATGACGGCCCCGTGCACACGCGGAGGACGGAGACGCATTTCGCACCTCCGCCCTACGGCGCGTGACAACGCCGTTTTGCCCGCATTGCACGAACGTGCTACAGCTATCACTTTTATTTGTTTGCACGTTCCCTTTATTTCTTCATTCTCTCGTGCGCTCGGCGCACCAAGCAGGTGGGGTCTACATCAAACTTTTAATTGGCAATTACGATGCTCCCACTAACAAAATCAAAAGAAAACTCAAGATGCATAATTTTTTAAGATGCCTACATTAAAACCCAGGGATCCTGGGTTCAATTCCCACCCCTGTCCGTTTCAATATGGATGAGCATTGTACCGGCGTGCGGTCGTGTATCACTACTGGGCGGTGCACGTTTAAGACCCCAGGCTACCCTGGCTAAATCGCTCATCTACAGCTGAGACACCAGATGCCCACTGAGGCAGACTAACTTCCGGCTGTATAAACATACACACAACAATTTGCTTTTGCTTGCTACGTTAAAACTTTCACAGTATTTTCAAATTCAAAGAACTCTTCAGATTCGCTTTAAAAGGGATATGAAACAAAAGTTGGGCTGAGATAAATGAATTTAGATTAGGATTTTACTCATAGCATATCGTTTAGTGGGCCAAAAGAAAGAAGGTAAAAGTCAAAAGCCTGATCTTCGGTACGAAAATTTGAAAACACAGCGGACTATTTCATACTTCCTTCCCTTCAAAAGCTCTTTGCCTTTTCACTGCAATACATCCGTGGTACCCAAAGTGCGTCACCAGGCCCAAACACATATCACACGACACCAGACCTCACTTATCCCTTCACCCCATAAGCTGACAGTGCGGTGGAAGCTATGCGCTTGCCGGACCAATCAGCCGCCTCCCTTTCATCACCTGACCTCATTCTCTCCACGTGGGTATGTGCGAGGGAGCGTAGCAAAGGTGTGGCTGGCCCAACGAGCACGTAGCTTCCACAGCACTGTCAGCTTAGGGGTGAACGAGGTGGGGAAAGCAACTTTTGTCAAAGTTTTGAGAGATGGGCTCATTTTCTAGGAGGAGAATGGCGGTGTCCAGGAACACAAATGAGAGTCCGAGAAAGAAAGGAGTCCCTCCTTTCCGTCTTCTTGAACTGTTTGGTATAAAGCGCGATTTTTGAGTTGAGGAGGAAAGCTAAGAAGGAAAACGTTAAAAAATCGTTTCATGGCCGTTTTAAGCAACGGCTGGCCTGCGCTTTCTTAGGACATGTGGGTTCTGATTCGACAAAGGGCTCCCTCTATAATTCAAATAAATTACCATATTTATTTAAATATAAGTCTACCTTTTTTCTTTTTTTTTTTTTCGGAAATGTAAAAAATTAAGGGTAGACTTGGGTATTAGAACCTTTTTTTCTAATAATCGTGACCAGAAAATTTCGACCTACATTCGTGACCAAATTTCGGGACCCTATCAAGTGCAAGGAACTATCGAGTCACCACTGAGTCGACGTCACTGTAGTGCCGCACTGCTTTTGGTGCACAAAGACAACCGAAATAACAGAAGCAACAGGCCCGCCCTGGCCACCGCTTGCACACGCACCTAACGCACCTATCCCTCGGGTGTCAGGTTTCGCCGACATCGACACGCACCTTGCCCCACTGCCTTGCCCCCACCCTCCCCCCTCCCCCTCCGGGACATGCAGCAAAACAAAATATGGAGGTTACTTTCCCTTGTTGTTGTTCACAACGGCTCATAGGGGCTTGCAGCATTGCTCGCGTCTTTGTTGTGACCTTCGTTGCCTTGCCCGTCTCCACCTTCTTTCGTTTCTTGTTGTTGCCATTTTGCAACGGTGTCAGTGAGGTTTTGCTGCGAATTTGTGAGGATGTCGACGAAGCTGATGAAGCTTGCGCCGAGGACAATGACATGTCTGGAAGTTCTGACAATGATTAAGTTTTTGGCATCGCACTGCGATTTAGCCGAGAGTGCCATAAATAAATGCTTGTTTCTTTCTTTTGCCCCAACTTTCTTCTGTCCTTTAAAAAAGAAAAAGAGGACAACCTATATTTGAATTTTTTACAGCGGAGCTATTAAGGGCTAGTTTCCCCAGCATCGTGTCCGGTACCAAACAAATGTCGACACGTGTGGTCGACACAACACTCTGGTTGCTGCAATCGCTCATAGATGGCGGTAGCTGTCCAGAGTGTCACCGCCGCAATCCCCTTCTCTTCCCTTACGCTATCGCTAACATTCCCGTAGAAATCGTAGGGTCGTATAAATACCTCGGGGTCACTCTGTGCAACAATCTATCCTGGCGCACACATGTTACTAATGTTATCTCATCTGCAAACAAAACATTGGGATTCTTAAAACGTCGCCTCCGTCATTTCCCCCAACATGTGAAATAACTTGCCTACAAATCACTTATCAGGTCAAAGCTGGAATATGCATCTGCAATCTGGAGCCCGCACCAAGTATATCTCATAAACGCACTTGAAGCAGTTCAAAATCGCGCTACTAGATTCATTCATCCCTCGTATTCATACAGCGTCAGCATATCTTCCTTGAAAGCAGAATCAGGCTTGCCTAGCCTCTCTACTGGTCGTTGCATCACCAGCCTTTCTTTGTTTCACAAGTTCTATTTTTCTTCGCTTGGTTCCATGCCTTATATCATACCGCCGGCACGCATTTCTCAACGCACTGGTCATCCGCTCCAAGTGGCACGCCCACACGCCCGTACTGTCACATTTTTTCCCCCGCGCAGCCTCAGACTGGAACAGCCTTTCCCACAACATCGCTGCCATCACCTGCCCATCAACCTTCATGGACAATGTAGCAACTCATACCTCTCTTTGAATATTTATGGCACCCAAAAACTAATCTATGTGGACCCACCCCTTATGTAATACCCCCTGATGGGGGGTCTTTAAGGTAACACAGTGAAGTGAAGTGAAGGAAGTTGTTTGCCGCCGTTGCTCATAGATCGCGGCAACCTTTCCAGCCTCGGCAACTAGACAACTGGTTGCTGCTGTCGCTCATAGATGGCGGCAACATTTCTTCTGAGGCAGAAGAGTGGGAACGGAACGAGCGGTAATGTGCGCAGCAGAGCGAATGGTTCCGCAATTGCTGCGAGGCCGCTATCACCTAAAGTTCCACTGCCGCGAGTGCTTCAGATTCCCTTGCGAAAAAAGAGCAGATTGCTCGCCTGGAGAGCCACCGCCGAGAACAGAAGCTACAGCTCCGCTCCTCTCCCTTCTCCACCAAAATGGAAAGGCTGAAAGGTTTTTTGTATTCTCAGCGAGTTTATTATAAAGGCATCGACCTATACTCGTGGTCGATTTATATTCGAGTAAATACGGTATCTGACAATTTTTTTTTCTTTTTAGGAACATTTTTCTTATGAATTCATTCAAAAGAGACTCTCTGCCATTTTCCCTCTGCCAGTGACTATAGTCTGTTCAGCTACGCTGTTCTAGATAATTGCCCGGGAGAGCATTCCGTGGGCCAGGAAGCACGGGGTTACGAGGCACCCGCCAACTCTCTGGTGTCCCCTTTCACCTACCGAGGCACTGGAGGTAGACGCTGCATGGGGTGTAGGGCTCTCCGTCCTGCCTGCGCACCTCCTTGATGAATAGGCAGAGAGAGTAGTTGAGCTCCTCGGGGGTCAGGCTGAGCAGGTCCGTCTTGAACAGCTTCAGCTTCCTCGAGCCCGACTGGGAGCCCCGCTCCAGCTCCGTGTTCTTCTGACGCACCCAGCAGGACCATGAGTTCACCCCAAAGGTTTGCTGCAGCGGGCAGAAGGGAGGGGGAGGGGGAGGGGGGTTGTCGGTGGCTCTTCTCGAATAAAATTGGCAGCCAAACTTTTATTTGTCACACACAGAATTTGAGTGTGGCTTTGAATTACACTTTTAATTGAGACGCTCTAATCCTGGTTCGCCTGTCGCTTTGAAACAGTTACAGTAAGATTGGTTTTATGAAAGTACTCCTGCCCTGTGCTCAAGGAAGACTTGGAGCAGAAGGTGGAGCGCCCAGGTGTTGAGACGATGAGATACTTTTTGTGTTTCTTTTTTTCACAGTTGCGTTCCATGGCCGGAAGAGCTTGAGGTGCAGATGTTTGCGTGCCGGCCAACTCTCTTCCCTGGCCCAGGCCTCCTGGCTTAATCCAGGCCTCCTGGCTTAATCCAGGCCTCCTGGCTTAATCCAAGTTTGCTTCAGCAAGAGTACAATTCTGCATTAATTAAAAGCGAGCAGAATTCCCAACCAAGACAGCATAGAACGGGGGTGTCAAACACGTGGCACGCGACTCGATTATGGCACCAGAAATGGCACGCGCCATAATGATCCCATGTGGTCGATTAATTTCCGCTCGAAAGGTGGTTCTGCTTTTGCGACGTGCTCCCATAGTTTATATTATTCTGTTTTCATTTGCCTGGTGTTTCCTTTTAATTTTTACTTCCCAGCATTTTGTCGCGTTCATCTACTGTACAACAATTCCACCACTAAGCAACAAGAACTCTCGCCTAGCAGGAGCAACTGCCAAAGATAAAGCTATGAGCTCGGGATCCGTCGGAGAGCGAGAACTGTCGTATGAAGACGTTTTTTCGAGATATGTTGAGCTCAATTAATTCCCGAGTGGATTGAGCAATGAGAACGACACTGTGCTTACTCTCTGGTTCTATTAAAAAATGCGAGCACGTTGGTGGAGTGGTGCCATCTTAATTCCTGTTTTCACATCAGGTAAGGGCCTAAAGTATAGTCCTATAAACAAATTAAAGCTAAAGATGGCACTAGGAAAACTGCGAGTTTACAAAAAGCAGAGCACACAAGGTCACTTTCTGCCATCTCTTGACCTTGACAAGTTCACTTATCAAGCCTTTAGTTCTCTCAGATATTAATTGGTTCACCACTTGTCATCTATAACAACATAGTCTCCACACTGCTTGAAAATATGAGGAGATTCCCTAATTGAATGTTTGATATCTTTAGTATGAACACATGGCAGGCAGGCAGCACTTTGTTCGACTCTGGCCTAGGCAGATCTAACGCTCATACAACAACAAAAAGAGCTCACCTCGAGTGTGTCAAAGTTTTCTCTAGAGACTTCTGCCTTGGGACTCTCCGGCTCACTCTCATCGTCTGAAGTGCACTTTTTTTTTCGGGGTCGCTCGGGCTCCTCGGCTTCTTCTGAAAGTGCCCTCTTTTCGCAGTTTCGATCCGACGATTCTGAAATGCACCATTATGCATGCTCAAAAGTGCTGACACTTATAAGCAAATTTCTAATTAAAATGAGGGCTAAAAATGACCAGTAAATGAACCACAGGAGTTTGAAAGCTATGCCGAGTGCCTCACCCTCCGTCTATTGGGAAAAAACACTAACAAAATGACAGAATTAAAAAAAAACAAAAAAAACAGAAGACGGGACAAAGTCGGCAGAACACACACAGGACTGGTACTACTCCGACTTTGTCTTTCCTTTTTGTGCTTTATTTGTTTCACTATGTCAATCAACCAAATAGCCCAGCAATACACTATCTTATCATATTAACAGAATGATTGGCATGTTAAAGCATGTTCAACAAGAGGGGTTTCATTCTGTTACTGAAAAAAGGCAGCTGTGGACAGGGGCGGATTTATGGGTCAGGCCTTAAGAGGGGGGGGGGGGGGGGGGGGGGGGGTTGCTGAGATATGACGTCACGGTCGAAACGTTGCCCAGATCTGTTTTGTTGACCCAATATTTGCTGTACCACCAAAAACTAAACTTTGAACTGGTGTATATCAATGATTTTATTAAAAAAAGGTGAGCCTAAGGGGGGGGGGGGGGTGAATTTGTTCCTGGCTGTGTTTGGACAAAAAAATTACAGGAGGACACTTAAGACCGCTTACGTGTAGGAAGGCAAAAGCATTATACAGTGCAACCCACTTATAACGATACCACATATAACAATGTACTGCTTATAATGATCAGTTTCTAGAATTTCTAGACTGGAAATGATCAGTTTCTAGTCCAGATACAACAATAACCAGTTATAACGATTTAAATTTCGGGTTTTCCCATTATCGTTATAAGGGGGTTGCACTGTAGTCCCACAGGTGAAATGCTTCTGAGTAATGCTTCTACACGTATTATTAAAGTTTAGGATGACGTACAGTTTGACGTCGCAAAGATTGACGCGAAGTACGGCATATAGGACGACATCAAGGACGGTGCCGAGGAAGACCTATCAGACGACCTCTCGGGCAACGTCTCAGACGACCTCTACGACGACGTCGAGACCGACGCCTTGAGGACGACCTCAAGGACAATGCCCAGGACGACGCCAAGGACGGCGTCGTCCTTGAGCATATGATTAAGCGACATGTGCTTGATGACATATTTTTATGGCCATCTTTCGGGCACAACACCGCCACCTTTTTCGCGAAATGGGACAAGTAAGGCTTTAACCTTAAAGGAGCTGTGCAACAATTTCAGGGCTTTGCCTAAATTATTGTGGAAGTTTATGCCTGACACTTCTGGAGTGAACTTCAGAAAACAGATTTTGCATGGATACCCTAGTTTTTATTTTAAAAAATAAAAAAGATCCAGGTTTTTGCTGCCTCTCAACTTGTACGTCGTCTTCCGGGTCACGTGCGCAGTAACGTTGCTGGGGTAGGCGCGGGGTTACGGAAAAGTTCTCTCTTTAGAGCCATCAGCGAGCAGCGAGAGCTCATCCGCTCGCGACCGCATGACCACGTGCTGGCGGGCGCCGCGCGAACAATATGGTGAAAGGAGGAAAGACTCATCCGGGTCTGGCCATACCCGTCCGGCCCTGTCCCCCTCCCCCTCCCGCTTCTGGCGGCTGTTCGCGGTGACAGATAGAGCTGACGGTTTTGTGAACCTAGGAGAGATTGCGCCACTAAAACTCCGTATTATAAAAGCTTTGTCGGTGATACCCAGTTTTTGACGATTAATCTTTATGATGGAACGACAAGATTTATAGAAAAGTTACCTTTTATCGAGCAGGTATTCGCACAACTTGCTATCTTTCTACAAGATTCCCCATTGACGTCACGCCGCGTGTTTCTCATGGCCGCCGCTCGCGGCTGCAGGTCAGGGAATATTCTAAGTTTTGCCTCGCTATTATGCGGCGGAATCGCAACACTTCAAAGAAAGGAGGTGTGTTTTCTGTCTTCTGTGACAAGGTGAACAATCTCAAAAGCAGAAAATGCCAATTCTTTCAACGTTAAAATCGTTGCACAGCTCCTTTAAGGGGGAATAGGGCCCCGAAATTAAATTTTTTCCCGAAAAAATGCATTTTTAAAAAATATTATATTTGGGTTCTGAAGCATAAGTTTCAGAAAGTTTCATTTATTAATTCGCAATATTTATTTCGCAATAAATTATTTTGTTGCACTCGGCAGGTCTGCTCGCAAACCCGCCGAGCGAGCAGACGGCGAAGTTCGGCATTTTCAAATTAGGCCTACTCCGCGTTCGTTCGACGCAGCCGAGATATCTTACCCTCGTTGGAAGCGCCATTTCTTCTAGTCTCTGTCCATAGAAGCTTGCTACGTTTGAGGCTATCTGTGGTCCAGGAGAACCCCGTATATACAAGCAGAAAAAATGTGGGAACTATGATACCAGCAATCCCATTGGTTGCGACCCGAAACAGGGCTCACGACTGGCTGCCTTCGGCGACGCAGCTCTTTGTTCGTCTCATGCGCGCGCTGTCGGCAGCTTCTTTCGCTTCTGATCGATCTTAGCCGCTGTTTAGACTCGTTTCCCCTCTTTGTTCCCAATAGTTTTCCTGCCGAGGAATGCCTGCTTTTAAAGCTAGCACTCGCAGTAGCTTTGGCCGGCATTCTCGATGGCGAAATCCAAGGCGTCGATCAGCAGGACTTCTCGCAAAAGACGGGGACCCGTCTCCACCACCACCATCGTTGCAGTTTCCGCCGCCGTCGTCACGATCTTCAAGCTCAACTGGTGCTTGGCGGACATCAGAGCCTACAGCTTCATCTCCGAATGCTGATCGGCTTCATGTCTCCTCCGAATCGGATGTGCTGACCACTTTCGAGAGGAGGCTCAACCTGCTCGATTTCGACGCGGGGACTACGGACGACCCGGAGTCAATGTGCCCGCCGTGCAAACTCTTGTTGCAATTTTAGTCTGCCCCAAATGCCACAGAGAACTACTGAGCTTGCAAGAAGGAAATGGCATCAAGCCTCCAAGGCCATATCCTCCCTTAAAAAGAAAAAGAAAAAAGACTAAATAAGTTACTAAGCGTTCCTTTCCAAATGGTCATATTAGAGCCTTCCCATCTACGTTACACAGCCGAAAAAGCTTAATGAAATGACATACCTCCTTCATCAGATGACTTGCGCTTTGATCGTGATGTCCCAGTCAACAGTTCTGCGACGCTGAGCAGTGCATCGTCAAACTTGTTGTCATTTTGTACTTGCTCCTGTAATAGGTATGTGTATGCTAGAATCATCATCCCAATCTGAGGGCTAAAGATCCTGGCTGATGATTGAAGATAAAGTTAGCAAACGGGTGAGCTGGTTTAAGTCCCAAGTAATTTTAACCGGAGACGATGGATAAAAGCATACTGTGCTCTCCCCTTTTTTTCATCCGTCATCTCCAGTTTAAACCATACGCACAAATCTTGGCAGCTTTTTCGTGCTAATAAATTCCACCGTGGTTCTATGCCCAACCTCTACTTTGATGTGATTAGTAGTACAAGTTCAAGATTCAAGCCCCTGACTATTGCCCAAGATATCAAGAGCACCGAGAACGGCGTGAAACTACCATATGACATGATCAAACTTAAGAGAAGTCAAGCCTCACATAAGTGGATTAGGGCTTAGATAGAAACAGAATGCTGCAGACTTTGTCTGCACTCCCTCCCTGTTTGGATGCCAACTTTACTATTTTGCGCCTATCAAATTTTGATGTAGGAGTATTCGTATAAAGATTGACCTGAATATACTGCAAATTTTGTTTTACGCTCTTGAGTAATAGTAATAAGTAATAGACACACTTCTTATGAACAAGGCCCTTACGTCTACTTTCCTGTGGAACAAACCTACAGCCAACCATAGTGTTCTACATAAGAAACGCAGCAAATAATGAGGTCGAAAACTAGACTCTCTGCAAAAATGCGACCTGCCCAATAGCATTTCCATGTGAACCCCTTATTTCCGTCCTGTAAATCGCCGGCATCTTTCTGTCGATCGGGGTGATTGGCTATCCTCATGCTCCGCAGGAAAGCAAATCCACAGGTTTAGTTCATAAACATTGTGTCTATTGTACTCAAGTAAATACAGTATGTGCAATGTTTTTAAGCAAATTTCTGGCTAGGTTACACCAACTAGTTAGTATCTTTTGCCCTTCTGTGCAGTAAACTTAGCATAAAAAAGATTATTTTTTTTAATGATGTTAACAAGTATATACTACAATTGCTCAAGTCTAAATCCCATGGTACAAAACTCGTGTATTTGCCTTCCTGCAGAGCTTGCGAGAGCCAGACTCTACGGGAAGGCAATTGCAAAAGGTAGGCTCCTTTTGCAACTTGCATAAGGAGCCTACCAAATGCGTAAGCACCGACGCAGTTTGCACGGAAAAACGCCATCCACAACTGGACAGTGAGCGTCACATCTCGCATTGTCGAAATCCAGTGCCGATAGCATTTTTTAACTTCGAAATCCAGAAATTACAAAACACCGAGCTGCCAGCACTGTCAGCAGTGACATTTGCCACCTGATCAGCAGTGCTGTCAGGGCTATGGAAAGGCTAAGGGCAGTCTCAAAAAGAAAGCTCAATACCTGTTTTGCAGCTCAATTAATGCAATCGCACATAATAGAATTCTAAATGGAGAACGGCACCACGCGAGTCTGAAATGTTCGTAACTCACAACACAATAGACTTCTTCCCAAACACGAAGCGCCTCACCGCGGCGAAGTCCATGCAATGCATGCAGGGAACTAGTTGGCCATGGAGTTTCGGTTTCATTGTTGGACATGTGGGGCGGTGCGGCCGCGTGGAGTCGTTGGAGCCATTGAATCGTCTCGGAAATACGATTGGGTGCGCACCATCCTATCAATCAACTGTTTGCACACAGCTTGGGAGACCAAAAGTGGCCGCTACAGTGTCAACCTAAGTTTTAGAGAAAATCTCCGCTCCAGCTCGCAAGATAAATTCATCAGAGGGAAACGTTTTGGCACAAGCGTACATTGCTGCCATGAACGCATACAAATGCCAGAAGCGCTGATCCTCATGTGAAATGAAGATTTCAATCAGCTCTGGGACAGACTTTGTTCTTCGAATTTAGTGCTGAAACTAGGGGCGTGCGAATACCGAATAGTAGTTTTCTAATAGAATGCCGAATCGAATCAAGAAAAAAAAAGCCAAATATCGAATGGTGATTTTATTCGTAGGAATTTTTCAAAGTATGCTGCGAATGAGATTATTATATGTGCAGAGTATGCACCTGTTGCAGAATATGCATCTTGTGCAGAACAAAAGCTAAAATGTAAAAAAATTTTGGTGAAAAAAAATTAAAAAATAAAAGCAGTTGCTGTTGGATGTTGGGCACTAAAAATCCAATTTCATGGCACAAATATAATCTATCTTCCCTAAACGTCAGAAAAAAACCAAAGTTACAGCCGCGCATGCCTTTTTGAAGCCCAACCTAGTACCGCAACTTTTTTTGATAAATGTTTGCATATCTCAGAAAGGGGCATTTTGCGATATTTGGTTTTCATTTTAAGGAAGGAAAAGGGCACCCGGGATTTTATTTCACGTAAATAAACAGTTAGGTGTTAAATCTTAGTAAACAGGCTTAAATAATATAATCTGAAGTAAGAAAAAAAAAAGCGAGGTTAGGTGGCGCAAGACACCGTCCAACTGCCGCTATGCATCCATTTTTCCGTCTATCTATCCTGTTTTAGAGAGCCTTGATTTAAAAGAGGGAGCAAGCGAAACTGAAACCACGGAGATGGCTCTAGTGCAGATTGGTCGTAAGTGCGCATGTGTTGTATTGTTGCGAGGAAAAAGGCAAGCAAACAGAAGGGCGACGACGCCTGCTCTCCCTGCCCTGCCTGCCCGATCCCGATCAACGCTTTTGTTTTTTCGACAAGTTCTCGCAGTTCGTAATTCAAACGCGGCTATCGAACGGTTGGAAACCCTCTCAAATCTAGGCACACTATTTTCCCGTTCCGTTTCGTTCCGCATCAGAATTTGCGGCTTGAGGTTCCAAAAGAACGACGACGATAACTCGGCTGGTTTTATCGGCGTGTTTAACGTGGTTTTCTTTCTGTGACTGTGCAGTCGCCGATTTCTGTGAGTGCGGCCAAGTGTGTTTTACATCGGTGCTTCAATTTGAAACGAGGGGCTTTACTCGTGAAAAGAATTAGGCATGACGCGGGATTTCGGCCTCCCAACTATTCCTCTCTGGAAGCGGCGCAAACGGGATGTTTCGGTTGTGATTCAAGAGTAGGTTGTATCACGATCGTGAGTAAATCTGCAAGCTATAAAGTTTGTGGTGTTCGTTACTTTTCTTTTCTCTAACCTGTGCGTTAGATTTTTGTGGAATGGCAGGACCAAAAGCTGTTTGTCGCATGGTTTGTCTAACATCACGGCGCTTACATCGGGGGGAAAAACGGCTTTTTTCGTCAGCTCCGCACCGACCGCGCGTCTTTGGCCGAATATATTGAATATTCGAGTGACCGAATACTAGGAATTCGATTTGCGAATCGAATTATTCGGAAACTTTCTATTCGATTCGAATTCAAGTATTCGCACACCCCTAACTGAAACCACTGAAACGCCATAACCCTGGTAGTCAGATCATTTACACAGCACAGCTTGGTACTGAGTACTGAGCATCAGGATGCGGTATAATCGGCAGGTTGTGCACGGTTCGCCGTCAACGCCGCACGCATCAAAGCGTTGACCCAAACCAAAACCATACGGCCTGCCACTTCGCCCCCTCCTGGTCAACTAGTTCCCAACATACAATGCTCGTGCGGTGTTGCCTGTGTTGCATGCAGCAATTTTCGGAAGTCTACTGAGCCTCCTGCGACAGTCAATTGGTACCATCTCCCCTCTGCTAGGTGTACCATTGGAATTTCACGAAAGGTGGTCAATGCAGACGCCTTGCGCAACCTTGGCATTTTCATGTTCCCCGAGCATGCACCCACAAAAGAAAAAGTGTGTTCATTATAAAAAAACAAACATATCTTCGTCCAAAATGTTTTTGTGGTCGATCCTGCGAGTCAAACCAAGCGAGAGCTTTGCCGTAACAAAGCGAAGACAGGCCTACCTTGATCTGCTTGAGTGCTTCCAGTATCTGCTCGGTCGTGTCCTTGGTGGTGGGGATGAAGATGGGCACGGGCACGGGTATAGGAATGGGCAGCGGAGAGGGCACCACGTGGGAGTACATGTGCAGCGGGGCAGGGACGTAGATGGGCACCGGGATGGGTATGATGCCCCTCGTGCCCTCTGTCACGGCGTAGTCGCCATCTGCAGAAGGTGGTAGCGTGCGAGCTTTCTTAGCTTCAGCTGCCAGTTTTTTCTGCAGGAAGTTGGTAGCGTGCCAGCTTTCTTAGCTTCAGCTGCCAGTTTTTTTATCTCCCCCCTTCTTAAAGAGGTATGAAAACCAAATTCCAGCGCTCATTTTTTAGCTTTAATGTGTTGCATGTTGCAGCATAACCTCAAAAATACCAGTATTATGTTGAAAGGCACAAGCGAACTAATTTTAAAGTTAATTAAACAATCTTTCAATGTGCACCTGGTGGATTGGTGGATACATGTGGAGCCTACTTGGGAGGTAATCTAGCAACGTGGGGGAACTTGCTACGTAGTCATGACATAGCAAGTTCCACCGGAGCAGCACCGCTCTTTGGAATTTCAACATTTTCCTTCTTAGCTTTCCTCCTCAACTCACAAATAATCGCGCACTGTACCAAACAGTCTAAGACGGAAAGGAAGGACTCCCCTTTTTCTCGGACCCTCGTTCGTGCCACCGGACACAACCATTCTCCCACTAGAAGATTACCCCGTCGCTCAAAACTCTGATAAAAGTTGCTTTCCCTACTCCGTTCAGCCCTAAGCTGACAGTGTTGTGGAAGCTACGTGCTCCTTGGGCCAGCCACACGCCCGTCACTCCACGGGTGCTTCAAACGGCTCGATTGTAACGCGCTGACGCTATACACGTTTGCAAGTCCGGCTTCAGGGTGCTGCCATCTTGCTTGGCTGGGGTGCACTTGTACGAGTCATAATCCGATTACGAAGCCTTGCTAAGGCGTCGTAATTGGATTATGGCCGCGCACAAGAGCGCACCCCACTGAGGAAGATGGTGGCGCCCTGAGACTGGACTTGCAAACGTGTATTGACACCGCCACAATGCTGATAACGCCCAATGAGGTAGACAACGCCACCAAGGGCAAAGCTCATAAACGCGCCAGCCTTGCTAAGTCACGAATGCGGGGAATCTTTTCTTTCTGTTTTTGTTTGCGCTGGATATCCCACAACGCACCGCGCTCTCCGTTCGCTTCTCTTCCCGAGCGCTTGCTCGAGTGCACCGTCTGGAACGAAAAATATAGCCAGTCGTTCAAAATACAAACGTGCGATTATCATTTATGGTTATTATCCGTCATGCTTGACTCATTTCCGAACGAAATTTGAATATTTCAATTTTTGTTTCCGTACCCCTTAAAATCGAGCATAAACTAATAAAGGCTGGTTGACACATTCAGGTTCAGAACTGACCGTGTTGCTACCACTTGCAATCCCTTGGGACTAGAATGTGCTGGTGCAATCTACCAGTAGCTCTGGAAAGCTTCTGATCAATATATATTTTATGGCACCAACCTTTCACCACACACTTGAAATAATTATTAAAATGTTATAAGTGATAGTTTCTTGTAACTAGGGTTTGATCTTTCAAACATTGCAAAATCGTCAGTCTAGTTATACATAGACCGAAAGCGTTGCACGGTTACCTTGACAAATTCTGTCAGCGTGTAAGTGCATCCAAGAAAGCTTTCTTGTATTAATGCAAGCGATCAGACTTCAATGTAAATTTTTAAAGCAGTCTTTAGACGAGTACCAGTGGGAACAGCTACTGCCCAAACGTTTTATAGAGGCACGCAAGGTAACAATCACCATACCAGTTTCGCTTGGTCTGGTTCTCAGAACTGAGAAACCAATCTAAACAAGCGTTCGGTGGATGTGTGATGCCACTACAGTGCGATCCACTTATAATGATGATGGGAAAAGCGGAAAATTCAATCCTTATAGCCAATTATTGTTGTATCTAGACTAGTAACTGATCATTTCTAGACTAGAAACTGATTGTTATAAGCAGTACATCTCAATATGTAGTATCATCGTAAGCAAATTGCACTGTATAACTTTAGTCCCCATGAGGCAGGTGGCAATGCACACAGAGAGTAGCAGCGAGGTTGTTGCACGTGCAGAAAGGCTAAACTTTCCTCGATGCATTCAGATGGTGGTGTCGTAGCCAAGCTCGCTCGTCAGACTGGTCCGTTAGCCGAAATAATAGGTGGGCTTATACAGTCCCCGATTGATTTTTTGCACTCGCTCGTTATTTCAGACATCGACAAGGAACCATGACTCACCTAATTGAAAGAGTACATATTAACAACCAATTTTTACGATATTTTGCAAGTCGTAAATAAAATAGTTACGACTTACGAGTGGCGGCGACCGGGAAGGTGCTGTCTTGGGTTTTTCGTTGGCTTGACCATGAGCCTGGCTCGAGGTTCAAGATGGATTGGATAGGTTTGCAGCACTATTTTAGCACTGCCGAACCAGCCGCTAGGCGTGTTATGCTATGAATTTTGTTTTTGCAAAGTAAGCATCATCATCATCATCTTGATTTCTTTCTTTGGTCGATTTTCTATCTCCCACCAATTGTTTGTTCTGTTTTCGTGCCAGTCGCCATCCATTAAGTGTGAAGTGCGCTGTTGACAGCTTCTGAACTTTACATTGAAATGTCTCGCGGTTTCGTAAGTTTTGTCCTGCGTTGATACATGCTTTGACATTGTGGCCCCTTCTTGCACTTCCGCCGGATGAGGACATGATGCTGACAAAAATGCAAGCAAACATGACCGCCCGGAAGCATAGCATGACACAAGGTACTCTTAGCGACTTTTCTAAGCACGCTTAGGCTCAATAAAGCCAAGTTTTGTAATCTGCAAATTTTTCTAACTGCTTTATTGTTTGCATGCTCTTTCAGCCCCCAGTAAGTCATAAAGAAATCGGTCGGCGATTGTGAAATCATTTTCTAAAAGCACCGCAGATTCTGGAACTGCCTGCAACATGACCACGCGGGCTTTTCTGCAGGTTGGCAGAGGTTGGCTGCGTGTGTACACCCACCTGTCTGCATCTCCTTGTGGCAGGCCAGGGGTCGACATGAGATGCCCTTGGTCATCATGACGGGGCGACACTGCATGGACTTGTTCCTCAGCAGCTTGGGGAAGGGCAGCTGAATGATCACCTCCCTCTCCACGCGGTTCCCGGAGGCATCCTTCGCGCCTGTCGCGGATGCCGCCAGAGCGGCGCTGGGGACGGACAATGTCGTGAGCTGGGTTCGTGTGGCTGCTGCCACTGCACCCGCGATGGTGTTGGCAATGGGCGATGTGGTGAGCATCTGGAAAATAGAGAAGTAAAGTGAGCATCTGCAAAACGGCAAACGATGGCATTGGGCATTCGCGACTCCAACTGTCTATACAGTCGAGCGCGGTTATATCACGCCCGGGTATTTCGAATTATTGTTTATATCAAACTGATTGCGCAGGCAGCGAGCACATAGGGGGGCTGGCAAACCGTCAAGCCAGCGTACGCGCGCACGGGATACACAGCAAAAGAACAGTTGTAAAAAAGAAAAAAAGTGGAGGATGGCAAAAGCAAGGGTGGGGCACGCGCGCGGGTAGGGACAGCAGGGAGTGCCCGCTGCTGCAAAAGTAGCGTGTGATCTTTCCCCGAACACTGCTGTGGCTGCGCGACTCCTTAGCCCCAAAATAAGATAATGATAAAAGAAAAGTCTTCCTCAAGTGTGTCGAGAACAAGGGTTGAGCAATCACGCTTTGAACACCTTATCTTTGTTTACCTTTTCCTTTTGCTTTGACTGTTTTTTTCTTCTTTTTTTGCTGCCTGAATTTAGTGAGGTTTGTTTTTTGTTGCTTGCTCAACTTTATTCCATTGATACTTTTTTTTTTATGCAACTTGTTTTTTTTTTTTGTGCTTTCATTTTTTTTTTTTTTTTTTAGTTTTCGTGTTTTGTTGCCAGCGTTGTGTGTGTGGTTGTCCTGGCCCCCCCCCCCCCTTCCCCCCGCCTGCCCGCCAGATACCAAAATGGCGAAGTAAACAAACAGTGAACATCTTGGGAAGAAACAGCGGCAAAGAAACTTGGACAAGAGTAAAAGACAGGAGAAAGTAAAGTATGTAGCCACTGATTGGGCCTATCGTGACATAATATGCTGCTTGGTTGGTGCGTTTGTGTGTCTATATATTTTTATCTGATCAAGATACTTGTTCTTTTTCTTCCTTCCCCTTTTGTGTAATAAACAACAATTGTTAGTCCAGTAAAGGAACACACGCTGTCGTGTGTGTTCCTTTACTCGTGTCCAAGTTTTTTTGCCGCTGTTTCTTCCCAAGATGTTCATCTCAAACCAACTAGCCCAACACGTCACATTGTTAAACAAACAGTCATGATGGCGATGGGGCTAGCCACCTTATACCAAGTATTAAAATTTTCTCGAGTTTCAGTTTTCGGTTTTGATTGTAAAGTGCATGTAGTTCTGGGCACCACTTTTTGGCGAAAAAAAGTGAGCGTTAGAATCGTGCAAACACGGTACTTGCCGCCATTTGCTGGCTTCAATTTGGTTGGTTTCGGTTTCAGTGTGCTTGCGGCTATGTTCCTTTTGCTTAATTTGTGATACAAACGTCTTTGTTGTAGCACACAACTAAAATTCCGTGTTTCTTGAGTGTATTTCTTTTTCATTTGGTGTTGTTTTATTCGGAGAGGGATTATTTTTTTTCACAGATTTTATGTATTTTGTGTAAATTTATTAAGTTATGACGAATTTACACAAAACATACACCAAATACAGAAAAATAAATAAATGAATGGAGGAACATGGAATTTTACACACAAGCAACGAAACAGTGGTGATGAGGCACTCAGAAAACTAAAGGCCCGTTCACACTCTTGCGACCGAGTACGACTGAGAGAGACGAGATCTCTTACAACTTCTTAAATGTTTCTAGAATGAGGGAACACACTGACATTGTGGCGCCATCTATGCGGTGACCCTAGAACTGCATTTCACAAAAGCGAAGGTTTTGCGGGATTTCTGAGGTCAAATGTGCGTAATACCCATAGAAAGGCTCGTTTATAACATTGACAAAAGTTTTTCGAGCTAAAAAAGAAAGAATATTGCGCGAGAAATAAAAAAAAATATGCCGGACCGCCGAGTTTACACTGCTTCCCAATAGATGGCACCAGTGTGTTCTCTGGTTTAAGAAGTTTTAAGGAACCCAGGTTTAAGAGGTCGCAAGCAGTCGCAAGAGTGTGAACGGGCCTTAAGCAGTAGTTTTGAGTCAAAATTGCTGAATTTTTTTTTTACAGACTTATGATGCATCTAGTCATACTGTCGAGACCGGTTATAACGAAGACAGTTATAACGAAATAGCGGCTACAGCGAAGCACTCACAATTTCCCATTCCCTTTTGCACTTCGTCAACCGAAGTAGCGGAAATAGCGAAGTGATTTCCGATTCTTGTTGACTTCGTTATAACCGGTCTCGACAGCACATGTTTGTCACTAATTCTGGCAGGCTTGGCGGCAAAACGACTGATCCGATGCAAAGGATGGATCCTCATCGCTTACGGCCGTTATACCAGCTGACCCTAGCTTCCAGAAAAATAAACTAATAAAAAGACAAATGCACAGATGCAGGTCCACAACCTAGATGAACATCATGCTGACCCGCGAAAAAGAGATGAACTCACAAGTTTACTGAATGCAGTTAGGTAGTAAATAAGAGCATCAGACGACACTTTACTAAATAAGAAAAGAAACGCGATGGAACGTTACGAAAAACACGAATACAGTTGCCGACCAATTTTTCGGACGCCAATGATTTGGACTTGTTCAATATTTCGAACCTAAAGGAGGAACCGTGACCAACCCGACATAAATAGTGCACATTCACAATCAATGTTTCAGACAGCTTGAAGTCAGAAAGTTACAGTTTCTGGACAAAATCGTTGCGGGCGATCAGCGGGAAACACCATTGAGAAGCCACCATGTTAGATTCTATGTTGGCTGCACATGGATTTACTTGGTTTGTCAGTGCTACTTGAGTACTGTTAAAGGGGCCCTCCAACAGTATTTGAGCGTCGACTTTTTTTTGCGGTTTCTACATGCTAGTGGTCCCGGAAACCCACTGGACAACGAAAGAGTTTGAAAATATTAGCGCATCATATTTTAATTTGACAACTCGGAAACACCTCCTCCGACGGTGGCGCCGCGAGGTGCCGAATGCGCGCGCAAAACGGCGCTCCCTTTCACTCTACGTCACATTCTCTGGATTTCGTGATTGGCGAGAGCCGTCCCAGGAATTTTGAAGCGAAATAAAGTATATCACACGTTAACTGTCATTATTTCTCAAACAATTCATTTTTATAGAGCTAATAAAGTTGCAAAGTAAAGTTCAAAAAGGCTGCGCCTTGTCGCTCATGCGCGCCTCCCAGCAGCGTCCGCGACGTACCATTGCGAGCAGACGACAAGTGGTCCGTGCTGACAACGCGCATCGTATTTTCACTTGTGCGCCCCCGGTCCCGGTCAACTAAAAGCAGTAAGAGGAGCGAGGGGAACCCTTATTTTCTTTTAGTGCTGTGACAGACTTTTCACTGTTCGAGTGAAGTGTGGCGACGGGACCCAGCTTATATCGTGCCCAACGGGAACGCTCCCCAGTTTGTACCTCCTAGTCGCCGAGGCGGCTCCGGTGGCGGAGTTGCGGGAGACGAGTCTTCCGCGGCTGTCGAAGCGGATTGAGGCAGAGACGCGGCGCTTGCGTGGAGTGTCCTTGTACGGCGCGACGCCCAGATCCGCCCTCGAAATCCGATAAGCCCGGTAAATTCATCGATGATGGCAACCCGATCCCAAAGCTACGATGGGTGCAACTAGGCCTAATGGCCGATGAGCCGACCGGGCCGACGGGCTATGAACCAAACTCGCGTCCAATTGGCCAACCGCTTTGCTCCAATCGCTAAACTGTTTCATTTTACGTCATGAAGCGCAATGTTTTGCTTATTAAAAGTTGTTTTCTGCAAAATTTAATTTGCTAATATCTCGCAAAATATTGCGAATTTCTGTAATATTTTTTTTCCTGGGTGTTCCTGCTTTGATGGACCTCCGTTTCAGCGCGAACTTCAAACCTGTCAAAAAACTGTTGGTGGGCCCCTTTAAGACCTATTCTTAGCTGAAGCTATGCTACGGGCTTCTTATTGCGAAAGCATTAACTGTCTCATGGAGCGAGCTGCCGTCATCAGCTTTGCAACCATGCCAAACGGCTCTTTTACACTGCTTCGATCCCATTGGCTAGCATGCGTCCACAGCCAACGGTACCTTTTACACCGCTGCGATCCCACTGGCTAGCGCGCATCGACCAGGCTTCCATTCGCCGGACACGCAGCGCCATGGAGTGGCCGGTCGTTAAAACTGACGCTGCGCGTCAGTTTCAACGACTGGCCACCTTATGGCGTTGCGCGTCCGTCAGCGCTAAGTCAGCGCTAGAGTTCCTGTATAGGCTCCCTACAAGAGCCAAAGTTGCGCATCTGTTTTTCATGTGCCGCCGCGCCACTATTCGCCGAGATCCGATCATGTGAGAAGCCGGATCAAGTGCCATGCAGGAAAGCAGACATTGCACGCGCCCTGTTGTACGTTCCCCTGCTTTTGAGCGTGCCGCACGCCTTGAACGCGCGGCGCCGCTATTCGCCGAATTCAGTCACGTGAGGAGCTAGATCAACATGCCATGCAGGAAAGACAGTGCTACGGGGATGAATGCGCAACTCTGGCTCTTGTAGGAAACCTATACAGGAACTCTGAACGCGTAGAGCAAGGCTGATGTACATGCTTTCGCATTCACAACTCATGAGAAGTATGTAGATGTACCTCAATCTTTTATTTTTTCTCTAACTACACGTTATTACCACCATCATTGTTACTATTTTGCTTTGTTCATTTACTATTCTGCAGTTGTGGACTTGCGCCTCTCATCTCGTCTCGGTGAATCGTGTTTTCAAACTACACTGGCTTGGACGTCATGGCCCTATCCGTTCTTCCGCTGCAGTAAAGAGCCGCTAAGAAGTGCAAAAAGTAGTCGACCATTACGCTAGAAAAGAAGGCAGCGATTCTCAAGCTAATAGAAAGTAGCCAAACGCAAGCAAAGCCATAACCTCAAGCAGGGCGGTATTGACGGCTTTTTAAAGCCCACTTAGACATACAAAGGCAAGTTTTTTTAATCTGCTGATTTTTCAGACATTATGTTTTGGTCCCTGCAAAGTCAGAGACATCGGTAGGCAAATGTACAACATGGCTGCATTTGTGCCTCCCTCGCTTCATGCAAGACATAGAAGATCCCGTGGACTGGCCAAGATAAACTTGGGCGAGACAACCAAATAATATATGGCAGAAAACAGGCTAATGTACCTTTGCAAAGATGTGCAAGCAATGTTTGTACTCAATGTGAATCGCCTTGAGGGACTTGGTCGTTATTCTTTTATTTTCTTTCGACGTGAAACATCCTTCATTTTGATCAGTAGGAGGTCACTTGCAAGAACTGCATGTAACAAAAACATGTAACACTAATACCGCTTATATCTTTGCAACTGTACAACCTGGCAGCTTATTCTAGTATTGACGTTTAGAGGAAAGAAGCCATTACTCGATCAAGCATGTGTCGCATGCGCAGATGGCACCATTGTTGCGCGCCACACACGATGCAATCAGAGCTAAATTTAGCTTTGCGTGCAGCATTCACAGAGGCGTAGCTCGGCAGTACATTTGTCGATAGGAGCGGAAGTGGTCGTGTTAGAGAGAGCTCATTCTGACACAGGAAGTGTAATCCATTTAACTCAAACTGGTGCTAATCGGGAGTTGTAAGGCTTAAAAGTGCATGATTTGCTGCAGAAATTTGACGCTTGCTCGGCTATGGCACCCTCCACTCGACACGCAGGGTCCAGAAAGGGCGTGAAGAGACTCGGGCGACAAGACAAAGGAATGCCAATCCATACCCATCCCCTTTGGCCATGGTAAACATGTCCGTCTCCATAAGGAGCGAATAGGGAGCGAGCACGATCAGACCGTAAGACCCCCACTAGTTGTAAGTTAAGCATGTAGTAAGCTTTGTAATGTGTGAATAAATGTAAGTTGTGTACAACTGGTTACGTCATTCCTGTACCCTAAAGCCCATACACCATACACCCTCTGCAGCAAGCACAAGATGTTTCACAAACCCCACTGCGGCTGTGTCCCAGATACAGCGTAACAAATTTTTCTTTCTTCTCTCTTTGCAAATTAAAGGTTTGTGATTTTGCACCATAGAACGGATCAGTTCACATTCTTTGGCTTTGACTGCTCTTTTAGGTACGACTCTCTTACAATACTCAATCTGAATCGGTCTACTTCACTTCGACGTGCCAAGCTGCCCTGCAACCATTCGACCGACGAACAATTGGCAAGTGACAACTAGCTGTACCCCTTTTAAACTGGGCAGCATAAAACCTAACCACGAAGTGGGAATTCGTAGGCCACCAGCACTTTGCCTCGGAGGCAGCTCGGGGCAGTGGTGAAGTGGCCTTCCGGGCCCCCATCAGCCAATGAGGAGGGACACACCTTTGTGAGGGGGCTAGCAGTCACGATCGTCGCAGACGATGCCTGCTGCATAGAGGTTGGGATGACGGGCATCTTTGTTCCGGCAACGTGTGCCAATGACCTGATGTTGGAGATGACTGGGGTTCCGGCTGGGGTCTCTGCAGCCGGACTTTTACCTGCGAAGGGTGCAAAAAAGAGTGCAGTTAGCGCGCAAGGAAGCTGGCCAAAGTTTACCTTAGACACATTAACCCGAGACCGGGGAATAACAACAATTCGGCGGTCCTACGTTAACCCACGGTACAGTCACGGAGACGAGACACGGCGGGAGTCGTTGGGCGTCGGTGTCGCGTTTGCATACATTGGGGTACTTAATAAAGTGTTCAGAACAAAACAGACGTCTAACCCGTGGCGGACGACAAAGAAAACGCAACCATACAATGTAAAGATTTGGTTACAACTCTGTATTCCATTCTGCACGCGCTGGCCGGCGTTTGGCACACGCTCTTCGCTCGTACTGACCGCCGCCACCAGATAACTCCCTCCTCCAGAGACGGAGTCGCTCCTCTCTGCTCCGTTCCTAACACCTTTGTTTCTTTTCTGTTCCCGAGTGCATGAAAAAGTGTCCCCCGGCATATGCTCTTGGCATTGACAGTGCTACAATACCTTGTTATATCGGCCTTCTTTTTCATTTTTCTATTTTTTTGGAGAGCGCGTGCAACGGGCACCAGGTGCTTTGAAACTCCCAAGTTTAACCCGTTAGTGCCCACCATACTTCAAAAAGCACACCAACATTTTTAGTTTTAGAGCTTCTGAAAATCAATATTTTGATTTTGTTGGAACCCATTTTTGCTACCAGGGTTTGCCTGAATACCTCTAAATCACTATTTTGCACTTGGGTGCTGGCACTTCCACTCTAATTTTAATTTAGTTCAGCCATATAATGTTTAATATAATTCAGTTTTTTTTTACGTATATTGCTTTAGGATGGAGCAAATATATCACTGGATATATTGATATTTACGATTTTGATTCTAATTTCACTTTATGGCAAAATATACGTCGGCATACTTTCTGTAGTACAATGGGCCGACGTCTATACCTACAGACACCGACTCTTGCTGGGTGCTGCCTCAATAAACCCCCAACATATTTTTTTCGGAAAAAAATTTTTTGCCAGTACAGCTAAGCCCTAGAGGCAGCTGTGGACATTGCCCAAGATGTTGATAAAGATGTTGATTTAGTTATTATTCTTCCTGACCCATCAGTGGACATGGACGAGGATGAGTGAGATGATGACAGCACCAACACTGTCGAAGTGAATGACGTGTCAGGTAAGAAGATAAAGTTTTATAAATATTAACCTCATCATGTGTTTAGGGATGGAACTCGGCAAAGCAGCTTTGGAGCAACATTGGGAGCAGAAAAAACTACAGGTTGGAGCAGGCTGAGAGCAACCAGAACAAGGTCTTAGAGCAAGTTGAGAGCAGCATATGGGTTTTAAGAATGTTAAAATAGAGGCTAATTTCAAAACTCAAGGAAATCTATGTGAACTAAACAGTAGTTTCAATTAACATTTTATTTTAAATATTTTTCACGAAATTATATGAAAATTACACAAAACATATAAAGCAAAACTACACGACAGTGTGACACGTGATGGAACCGACTTGCAAAGAGGTAAATATAAACAAACAGGTAGAAATAGCTTTCGGGTTGTACCTTGCTCCGCCTCACTGCTTGCTCGCCTTTGTTATGTTGCCAACTTTTCTGCGTGGGGCCTCAGGGTGGGCCAACACGGGCTGCGGGCATGCAATACACCTTTCCATAAAAGTGTATTAGGGTGCATTCATTGCTGCACTTGTGTGTTATGCAAGTGCAGTTTCTGGCTGGCTACAATTGCAAGTGAGCGCTGGCTGGATTGTCATTTTTTTAAACAATGGAAATGTCCATAGTCATGCAAGTACAGCCAAGAGGGAGACGCACCAACTTAAATACATTTGAGTTTATCGTAATATGGCGGCACTGTTCGCTCCACTATTAGGACTCTAGAAAAGCACACAGTAACGGCAGCTATACTTTGTCTGAGCTTATATCCAGATGCAGCCGATGCTACAAGCGCCAGCATGTGGCCTTGAACAGCGCTTGCACTGCACAAGCGTGCGTTCTTGGCAGCATCATTTGCATGTGCACTTGCACGAAGCAGAGCGACAGCGAATGGCTTCAAAGAGGTCTTGTGGCAGAAACATTGCAATGAGGAATGCTGTAACAACTGTTATAAGCTGAAACATAGTATAACCATGCCAGCGACCTTCGGATACAGAGCTTCGGATCCGGATCCACCGGCGTTCCCTTTGGGCCAAAAGTTCCGATGGAAATGTTGCCAACAGAAACTGCGAGATGGCTAAATTTGACGAGGCTCGTTCATAATTTCAGTATGGGCGCACCTTGGCAGAATTCTGTTCTCATTTATACTTTTCTATCAGTGCGGAACATGAAAAGTCATTAGGCGCACAATGGTCCGAATGGCGCAGCAGTTGCATCCCTGTGTGCTCGAAGGAGAGCTGAACTGATGGATATCCATCTGTTTTTAGGTACACTAAAAGTACACTGCATGGCAAATGATCAAGATGGTGACCATCAGTTGCCCCGTGCCAAGCAAGCGAAGTTCATAGATCTGAAATTGAAGCGAATGAATCCAGAGTACAGCTGGTTGCCTTCAGCAAAGGGTGCTAAATAACGGCAGGAAAAGCTAAATTTCGGCCTTTTGGAAAAGTCTCTAAACCAAATCCTCAGCAATATTTTTGATGAGGAACTACTGTACAAACTAACTCGCATCATCATTCCAAGTGGGACAAGCAAAAAAGTGAGCACGGATTTGTTTCCACGACGAATGACCAGAAAAAATTCATTGGTATTCTTTTGTTGACTGGGTACCACAAACTTCCCAGCCAAAGGCTCTACTGGTCCCTCGACGAAGATGCTGGCATTTCACCTGTCGCCAAGTGCAATAGTCGGCAGTGGTTCCTCGAGATAAAGCGGTTCCTGCATTTAACCGACAATACCTTGCTTCAGCGACCAATAGATAAGATGCGTCCCTTGATGGAGTTGCTAAACAAGAAGTTCAGGCAACATGGCATGTTTCACAAGACCCTCTCTGTTGATACTCTGGTCACCATCGTTGCAAGCAGTATATTAGAGGGAAACCTACCGTATATACGAGTGTAATGGCCGCACTCGTGTATTAGCCACCACCCCAAACTTAAAAAAAAAAAAAATAAAAAATTTAAAGATTACTTAAGGATTCTAGAATGGCTGGAAGCGCCATCTAGTTTGTAGTGCAAACACTCGAGAATGTGTGTGTTTTCTTTTTTTTTTTCAAGTATTGTCGGCAGATGGTTGTGGCAGCCAACTACATTGAGGCACTCTATCCTGTCTGTTTGCACCTCTCGCTTTATCTCAAACAATCTCGAACCAGACACAGGTGTGTGACTGGATTCTCGAAACGTGGGGCGCAGTTTCCTTCGATATTGTGGAAAAAAGCTTCAAAGTAACTAGAATTTCCAACAAGCTGGATGGCACGGAAGATGACCTCACCTGGGACAGAGACGCCGAGACGAGTTCCGAAGATGAGTGCTCTACTACGGATGAACGAGAAGGACTTTGCACAGCTGTCTATGCAATACCGATAAATGTATCAATTGTTATGGAAGTACTCGCACGTCTTAGTAGACGTGCGAGTACTTCCATTTAATATTAACAAATGGTGACACCTTTCACAAAAAAAAAAAAAAAAGATTTAAACTTTTTTTTTTTTTTGGTGTAATGATTGCATTTCTAGTTTTCACCCAAAATCACAAACAAAAATACATGTGGCCATTACACGCATATATACAGTATTCGTGTTGGGTACAAGGACTGGATGATGGCCAGTGCAGAAGGGTACTGCTATGCGTTTGACACTTATTAAGGAACAGATCCCACCCCAGACACAAGCCCGTTGGGGGACACGAGCTGTCCTTTCCCTACTTGAGGCCGTCACGACGCCCGCCGACCGTGTCGTGTTCTTGGACAATTTTTTCGCGACTCACGACCTCCTCATCACTCTGCGTCAGCTGAGCTTCCGTGCTACCGGAACTCTCCATGAAAACAGGTCAAAGAAATGCCCTTTTACGCCCACAAAAAGTAGTTAAAAAAAAAGAAAAAAAGGGGGAATTCCGCTCATGTTTTGATCCAGAAAACAAAGTTCTTTTTGTCAAATAGAAAGATAAAAGTGTGGTGACCATGGCAACAAAACAAACTATTGATGGTCAACAGCACAACAAGTGAAAATAAATGTGCTGCAGCCCGAGCTGTTCAGCAGCTACAATAGTGTGATGGGATGTGTAGACCTTCTCGACCGGATTGGCATCTGGGGAAAGAAATGGTGGTGGGCGTTGTTTACTCAGATGCTCAACATTGCAGTGGTAAACGCCTGGAGACTACACCAGATCACAGGAGATTCCCGGTTAATCTCCTCTTATTCACCAGAATCATTACTTGCCATTACCTACGCCCCGGTATGCCAAACTCAACTGTTCACAGGGCTCCAGCATCGGTTGCACTGGATGTTGTGCTCGACAAAGAGGGACACTTCCCCCCAAAAAAAAAAACTGGAAAAGCAGCTGCGATGTCAATCTTGCCACCAAAGGTCAATGCGGGTTTGTGAAAAGTGTGAGCTTACATTTTGCCCAAAACATGGCTGTTTCAAAACATTCCATGAAAGAAAGTAGCTTTTGCTTACTCTGTTCTACCAAAAGCCCACTGTACTATATAAAGTACAGGACTCTAGCTCTATAAGAAATAAACAGTCTCAAACAACTTTGTGATTGTTGTTCTTAATCGGGGAACACTACCCAGAAAAAACATTTTCTGCAAAAAAACGTTGAATTTGAAAAATGTCATATTTACATCCACCAACATCTAGAGAGAATTCCCACAAAGTTTCATTAGTTTACACTGCATAGTTAATTTTTTATAAATTATTTTCGGCCCACTGATGCTAAAGAAAAGGTAGAGAGCACTTTGATTGCTTTTTCTCCATTCCACTTTTTGGCATAAATTTCACTTTAGGAAAACTATAATTTTGATATTACCTAGCTTGGATTCACTTTTATGAGCTTTTCTGGAATGAAATTGT